TAAGGTGAAAACAAATTAAATATATAAAATAAATAAGACAAAACACACATCCTACGCAGTTAATAAAATGGTCTCTCTGGTTATCTTAACAATGCACTTATGTAAATATTATACACAAAGATGGGAAATGACGAATAGCTTCACTTGTCATTGTCATTGTTTCGGTGTAGCAACCTGATATTTCCTCTTCAGGGAGTGTTTGCTGTGGATGTTTTTATCCAATCACTCAGGAGCCCTTTGTAATGGATGTTCTCTCCATTCAAGAACTGTTTTGACTATCACATAATGGTATAAGTGTCTTAGGCTACGTGCTCATAAACGTAACTCAAACATGTCCATCAATAAGTAAGAGCACTTTCGCAAAACTGCATTAAGAAGTAATGCCAGTCTATTTGAGAGGCATAGACATTTAAAGGTGCAATCATTAATCAGTACAGGTTTCGTTCAACGTTTGACTTGTAGACGGTTAAAAATAGACAGTTCAAGTTCATGGAACGGCAACCTAAAGTACCATAACTTGTAATACAGGTCTGTCTTTGTTTGTAGACTTTATATGTCCAAACAAACCTTTTATACCCTCAAGGTTTGTTTAGAATCTACAGTTCAGTGTCCACCCTGATAGCAAAAGCTCAGGTAACACATTTCAGAGGGGATACATGTCTTCAATGCATGATGTCACCATGTAAACAAAGCCTGTAATGGTGTGGTAGTATTTCAGCAGAGGGTGCCATAACGTTTGAAGATTTGACCTTCGATATGCAACAGTGTGAAAGTGTTTCTTCTTTGACCCTGTTTATAATAAACCTTTAGGTCAACTTGAAAAACCTAAGAGAAAAGTTTTGACTCTTATATTCATTTTTAAATGGCAGAAAGATGGTTAAGTAGAGAAAAGGAAACACTGAATGAAACTGAAAGAAGATGAGAAAGTCAGAATCATTTTAGTTTTGTAACACTCTACCATCATCCTAAGGTGTGTTATCCTGTCAATGTTTGTGTCACAACATTGGAGCGTGTTAATAAAGCATTAGGATGATTCACCACCTGGCCTGTGCGGTGTTGTTATAAAGACACGCCCACTCCCTGGAGAAGCCCAGACCTGTTCAGAGAGACACACAACACTACAGGAGATTCAGTAGGTGTGGTAGCACCTTGGCATGATAGATTAGATAAATAGACAGGCAGGAAGTAAGGGGGATAATGACAGGAAGGCAGGAATACTCTGCTGTAGATGGATGACTGGTGTATACCCACACAACTAAATGAAAGATGAATGAATGGGTGGTGGCATTGAAAGATCCTCTATTCATTTTGAAAGTAAAGTAAAGAAGTACTCTAGAGCAGTGATTCTCAAATGGGGGTATGCGGACCTCTGGGGGTACGTGAGATAAAAAAAATTAAAAAAAGGTTAATTAAAAAAATAATCTTAGTAAAATAAGTAAAATAGAAAACACAATTTTATATAAAACATTCCTAGAACCACCAAGGGGGTCCTCATATAAACATGTCAAATGTGTGTATTGTATTTTTATAGTTTTTCACAATAACATATTACTTAAATTGAAAAACTCCTTGGAAAAAGTGTTATGTTATTTTTTTTCATGCATAAAATGAAAATATCCTTAGTTTGTTGTAATGCATACCACGAAGGAGTTAATACATCACACACTGAGGGAACATCACTATATTGTAATTATTTATATAGGCTTTTTCGATCAAAAATGATCGGGATCGGTCAGGGGGTACTTGGCTGAGAAAATGTTTCAAAGGGGGTACATTACTGAAAACAGTTTGAGAAGCACTGCTCTAGAGTAAAGATCAAACCTGATTTATAACTCCAAGAATAACTTGTTTTAAGGACAGAGATGAGCTTATTTTGTTGTTAGTTCACCAAGAAGGTAATGTTTTTGGCTTGATCTGTTTGTCTGTTCTCAACATCTGAATTTTTGTTGAAGTTTCATTGAATTTGTGCTGCATTCATGTGGTGTCGCAATAATCGGAAAAAAACGGTTTCATACAGGGAAAATTCATGTCATCAGTTTATCAAGTCTGAACAGCAACTCAGAAACAGATATCAACACGTTTGAACACTCAGAGCAATAAAATACAACACGTATTCCTTTTAGTGTTCTTGTTATTTCCACATTACAAATGAATGTTAATTATTAAAGGTCATGAGCACACATAAGAAAGCAGAACAACTTCCCAACTCTGGAAAATGGGACCAAAGAGACACATGTGAATGCACCTTTTGCCTTGGTCATTTGAGTTTATTTGTCAAATGAAGTTTAGTACAGCAGTTATCCTTTTCCACAACGTTTGCATTCATTCACGTGTATACTCAACGTTTTTCAAACAGCAGTGATGCCACAGCCTGCCTTGTCCTATAGCGGACATCAGTATAGGTCATCAGCCCCACTGTGAGCTCTTTACTTCTGAGTCATGAAGAAAAGAAGACTAGGGAAACAGTGAGGAGAAAAGGTTATTACCACAGCATGTGTAACAACTTATCCCTATGGAAAGAAGAGGTGGAATTTCTCCAACTTCTTGTGTAACCATTAATCTCCTTACAGCATGCCAGGCCAGAACAAAGACACTGTGTTAGAGAGCGTTTCCTTTTTAAGTACATTTGATGTCAAGTGTTAGTGATAATTGCAGAACAAATTAGTACAGTAAAGCAAATAGGGAAACACACAGCAGCAAGACTAAGCTTCTTGATATACAAAGGTTTACAAAAGCAACCGTCAATTAATTGTTAATTGACATGTATAACAAGTATGTTTTAGTATGGTTAAATTTTACTTACATGTATAATGGAAACATTGCTTGATGTTTAATTTTTAAAGTCAGTATTCTTATTTTTACTAGCATTCCCTTTGTTGTCAATATGGAATAAAAGAGGTGTAGTTGGTTCGCTGCTGAGAAATGTTATATCATTGGCTCTCAGTTTCAGAAATGTCTTAAGGTTTATTAGGATTCAATTGTTTCTATGTCTTAAAAAACATTTGGTATGTTCCTTTTTGACTGATAAAACATATAAAGAATGAATGACCCTACAATAAAAGGTACAAATGTCAAATCATAATAATGAATGAATATTTCGGGCTTGACTCTTAGTCTTAACTTGAATTCCCTCTGGGTTGTATCATATTGATCATCATGAAATGAAAGCCTTTCTTTTTTGTTTTAACTAGCAGATTTTTAGTCTGAGAACATTTAACAGATCCATTATCTGTCTTCAAATGTATATGGGGCACTGGTCTGGGCCTGTCTTCTGTCCTCCACTGCAGGAATATTTGTTCAGGTGACAATCTGCTTTGTGTGTGCATGTATGCACAATGTTTGCCACCTGATCCATTTCAGCTATGATATCAGAAATGTGTGGTTTATTCTTCCTGGAAAGTTGCAACACTAAACAATGACGTACTTCATTGTAACACTATTTATTTATTTGATCACACAATGCAAAATGAGTTGATCAACAAATGTCGGCTTTGGCCACTTACTTCCTTAGATGCAGTGCTATGAGTTTAAGGCTGTGAGTTATTAATTGTAAGCTGCAGCACCAGCTGTAGCAGGAGCAGGCAGTGAATGGACTCTCTGTCTGCACTGAGCCGTGTTTTGTGTGCAAAACTGGAAACAATGGGTAACCAATGAGACAAGACCCATGTTCCTTAGTTCTGAGCCACCGTTAGTTAGTGGGGGAGGGGGCGAGGCCTTTTGTGTGTATTCGTGTGCTTGTGGGTGTTTGAGAAAGAAAGGGGGAGGTATTAAGATGGGAAGGGGAAGGTAGGTTAGATGTATGAGAATGTTAGAGGCCAACAGTCTGTCTATCTTTGGGTTTGATTTAACACACAGGATATCAAAGTAAATACACCTGCTTGAAAAATTATCTTTTCGTTTAGGTTTCTCAAAATTGAGTTTGCATTGACTTTAGTGTGTTATCAGAGCGTGTCACAACGCCTCTCATTTCCCGCTCTGTGTGTTTTTTGGCTATATGTCACACAAAAACACGTACATGGCAAATGTGTTTCTCTGTATGAACTCATGCTCTCAAGTTGTCTTTAAAATACTTAGAGTAAACTGTTCTTCAATTCTTTCCACATCTGATCTATGATGACATTTCATAGTTCCTCTTTTCATCCCATTTGCCTCCTGCTTTTTTCACCTCAGTCCCCTTTTTTAAAAACAAAACCTGGGTATAGCCGATGTTAGGCACCAGGGGGCAGGAGAGAACCGCTGTGGCACTGAGGAGACTTTACTGGACCTTGGTCCCTTTTGATATCCAGATAGTTAAAATGACTTGGCAATTTAAACATGTTTGTTTTCATACCGCACATATAACATATTGACATAATAACATAACATAATGACATAATAACATAATGCTTCATTAATTATGTTATCTTATCATGTAGACTAAATATCAATATATTTAACAGATGGTCACAAAGTATATTTTCCTCTGCAAGCCTGACACAAAAAAAACAATATTAATTGAGGAGAATCCAAAGTAATAGACTTCCTAGGAAAAAAAAACAATAAGCAGAAGCATAGATTCCAGGAATCCTTTTCCTCTCACCGTGCAAAACAATCCCTTCATTATTCCCATACAGACAAGTTCACACCGATTTATCAGACTTTACAGCTTCTTTGCTATCAGTATAGCCTAATATTCCTATAAGGACGTACATTTAGTGATAAGATTCTAGCCATCGTAACCTACTTGTATTGCACTTTTTTTTATCTTGTCTGTTTTCACTTTTTTTACTAGAGGAACTCCTTGCTGCATCTCAACTTTGAGTAACCAGTGCATTGGTACTGGTTTTTCTTTGTAATACCCCCATATACATTTGATATGGGATTACTGCATGGTCTCCGCATGTGTTTGGAGGGGCTGATCTTGTGCGTAAAACATCCCTGATATTTGAGGCGCTCCAGGGATTTGGTGCGCATGCGCAGTGTACCCCTCTCTCACAGCAGAGGAACCGCTGCTGCTGCAGCCCAGCAGTCATACCGAGCATAGCCTGCGTGTCAGTGCAGTCGACTTACAGCTGGCTGTGAGGACAACTGGCGCTTTTTGTTTGCTCTTTATCACCGCGATACATTTACACATATTTCGAAAAAAGTGTCAACTCGGTGTCTCTCTGTGGGTTTATTTTATTCAAGTTTTACAAATAAATTAAACTAAAGTTGGAGGCTGGGCCTTTAGCTTGTTGACCGTAGCTTGAGAGGAGAAGAAGAAGAAAAAAGCTGGTCTTTTTGTGGTAAAAACTCGATAAATGCTACTAACGAAAATGGATCTGTTAAACTACCAGTACCTGGACAAAATGAACAACAACATCGGCATTCTCTGCTACGAAGGTAAAGTGGAGTGAAAAGTTTGTGCTGCTTTGTTTTTAAACTCAGTTAACGCTGTGAGTTACCGTCCGAGACTTTGTTCAAGTTTCACTGAACTTACTTCAAGCCAGTGTTTTCATTTCTGAGCTATTGGCTGCTTCCCGAAAGGAAGACCTGGCTATTGATTGAGATCAGAGGCGGACTAATGGACTACAAGTGTGCATTTCATGGATGTCCTCTCACTGGCTCACTCTGTATTACTATTTGCTCAGTTATTCAGACTTTCTGCTCTCTATCATTCACAACTACCTTTGGCAATCTAACTGTATGATCATTCTGGCTTTAGTTGAATCAGATTGTGTGTTGTTTACTTATTTGTCTCATTGTCTTTTTGTGAGATGGTTTGGATTGACCTCTTATTCATTTTGCTGTAGTTTCCCAGTGTGGACTGCAACTTATTTTCTCGCAGGAATAGTAGTGTAACTTCTGTCCTCTGCAGTTACTGCTCACATGTCAGGCGTTGTAATATCATCCAGTCTTTCCGGGGGCTAAACAAGACCTCCTTCCTCTGCCCCTGATTCTGAACATGCAGAATCAACTCCAGAATTGAAAAGCAAAAAGGACCACTTAAAATGGTCCATTATTGACATACACGGCAACTAATTATATATCTTTTAAATCTAATTCTAAGTCCCTACACAAGGTGGTTTATACCAAAAACAGAAGTTCTAGCATCACAGAGGAACACCTTTAACTGATCAGCTTTTTATTCATCTCTTCTCTCCCTCTGTTCATTACCCTAGTCTTCCCCCACTGCTCCTCTGCCACAGTTAGCATCTCCTCTCTAAATGTCATAAGGAACGATTAATAGCACTCCTAAGACGTACAACTGAAAACCATTTAGCAGTTTACCAGGTGTACGAGTCACATTGTATAGCAGGAACAGCGAACATGTTTGTTAAGTGTTTGAGCATGTGGTTATGGTCTCTTTGGAGTTGTTGTTTTTTCCTGTTTTCAATGCTGTGTGGGAAACAAGAATGTTGTGTGGCTGTAATTCCTGTTCGACAAGCTGTTTGACGAAAAATGATTACTTTCAGGCATGTGGCTTTTTTTTGTTTTACTCAGTGGTTCAGGCACTTGTGAAATGTCCCTGAAGCAGCAGCTCACAGTGCGATGATGGTGCATCAGAGAAGGCGGCCCCTGGCCTGGGACAGAAGCCAATCAGAAAGCTTCTCTGTGTCACTACAGAGATTCACCTTTCTCAGATTTCATCCTGTCTGTTAGTGAAGAAAATGACAGGAGTGAAGTGGGCAGGACACTTCTTTCCAGTGGTATTTGTATACTTGTATCCTCAGGGTGTCTCTTATGTGTGATGTGTTTAGACACAATGCTCTCTTTCTATCTTTGGAAGAACATATCTTCAGGGTTCCGGTTTACCCATCTATTGTTTTCGTGTGTGTTCTTTTAGCTGACTACGCCAAACACGGACTCCATCATGTGCCTCAAGATAAGAAAACAAAGATAGAAAGAGAGGGAAAAGAGCCAACCAGTAAAAAGAGTGAAAGAAAAGCCCTTCATGTTCAAACATGTTGAGCCAAGAAGGGGTTCGGAGGAGCTTTGTGATATGGTGGGTGTTCTGACTTGTTATTGCATCAGCACACACTCAAAATACATTCCCGGACAGATGCATACATAAATGCTCATGCTACACTTGAATAACCATATTAATAGTTTAAATAAAGTGTTGAATATTTTCACTATCCTGATGCAAAGTGGCATACAGCATGATTTACAGTGCTAGAAGAAAACAGGTGCACCATATCAATTCTACAACACACCTAAACACATCAGAATTCGGTGATGTCTTTGTGTGGCTGAACAAATAACGCAGGGGGCTGAAAATGGCCTACTTGCTGTTGCTGGCTATATTTAATGTCCTTTCCAGTATCCAGTTATGCAACGTGTGGCAGTCGTTTGTACAAAACTGACAGATACGCGGCTTGTTTACATGATGTAACAATGTCCATGTTATGCAATGTTATGACCCAGTTTGCTGTAAATGAAGGTGTTAAGAAAATCACATCCAGTCTTGCCTTCTTCTGTTGCAGTTGGTGGGTGGATAGATAGGTTTGGTTTGCATAATGTAGGGTAATTGGGAGCAAGTTGCAGGATATAAGAAATGAAGTTATTGTAGTTGGCTTTGAGGTGCTGACCATCAGTGTGCTGGTGCCAGGTAGCATGAAAGGAGGACTGGACTCAAACCATGTAGTCATGCTGATATTATTACATTATTACATGTTACTTGTTAGACTTGTCTTTCCCTGTGTATATACAAAGAATCACATTGTTACAATACCAAGTTGCCTTCAGCATTGTAAACAACTGCTCCAATTTCCTGCAAAGCAAAGCTTGCCCCCATTTGATTCCAAATCCTTTCATTTTCCAACCAAGCTGTGCTCTTGATTCTGTTTTTGGAAATGATTGTGTTTTGCCAGTTGTGTGATCAGACTGAATTGGAGGATTTATGCATTATGCAACTCTTTATCACTTTGCGCCTCTCTCTCTCTGTGTCTGTCTGTTGTCTCTCTCCCCACTCTCCCTTTCTCTTTCTGTAAAGCTGCTATCAGTCGTAGGCCTGGCTGGGAGCGGTGCAGGCAGGGGAATGCTGCTGACTGTCCCTTTTTGCTGCTGAGCAGTAACAAATAAACAAGGTTGAAAACCTCCTCAAAGCCATGTCCTTTCGTCAACTTCTTTCCCTCTTCGTCCCTCTATCTTGCTCCCCTTTCCTTTCTCTGTCAGAGATCAAACCAATCCAACATCCGGTTTAAAAGTTCAGCTCTGCAGACAAGAGCTTTTATGCAACAGCTTTTTTCGTGTGTCCTTTTTGAGTATTTAAAGCCTAAAACCTCCACGGACAGAGGGCCAAGTTCATGAGGACCTCGGCCAAAAATAATCATTTTGCGGCTTCGCAGAGAGAGAAGAGGGCATGCTTGAACTCATCCTGTCTTAAGGGGGAAAGGAGAGAGGGAGAAAGCCAGAGGGGAATAAAGAGATAGAGGGGTACCTCTGTTTGTAATCCAATCTCATCCTGATTCCAAGCTGTTTGAAGTTCTGTCAAGAGAAACAGGCTTTGATCATGTGGACCAAATGAACCGAGAGAGCAGAGGGGAAAGGAAAGTGGAGTTGTAATTCTGTGCTACAGTCCTCCTTCCCCAGGCAGTCTGCTGGCTTAAAACAACAAACAGTGTTTACCTGTAAGAGTACAATATTATTGTTCTACCAAACAACTATAGAATTGATAGAGAAAATAATGACGTGAATTATTTCAAGCATTGCCATTTGGTGCTTTTGCCTATCTCTGTATTTGATGTTGCCTGTTGCTGTGCACATTATAATTGGATTATCTTTTACTATTCACTTCTGCCATGGTTTAGGAGGCATGCCTAAGCAGGTCAGTTTGCTTAGTTTATAAGTAGCTTTTTAAACAAAGAACTTTTCTTACATGATGTTCTTACATGAAGGCTTTTTTTGTCACCTCTCTTCCAAGATAGTTAGTTAGAAAACTAAAGTTATTCCTGTAAGGAGAATCATGGTTGGTTGGTTACTTCCAATCCATAATTGGGGTGCTGCAGGCGTAAGGTCTCAAGGTCACTCTATAGGACACATGTCTTGTTTTTTCACAGGGGAAGCACTCACAGATTCACCTATTGTTGAGCATTTCACTTCTGAACCTCTGCTAAGCTATTATGTGTCCTGGATTTTCATTGGCCAGTGTGGTATCACAGGCTCCCTTCTTTTATTGCCAACCCTCTGTCCTGCCAAAAACAATGATGTCACCCTTGTTGCTATGGTTCACAGTGGGGCGAGCAGGAACATGCCAGAGATAGAGAGAAAGGGGAGGAGCTGCTGCTGTGTTTGGGAGGCCATGCTAAAACTAAACATACATATAGGAAGAGTGGAGGAACAGAGAGCACACTTTATAACAGTACAAAGCCTTTCAGAGAGAGAGAGAGAGTGTGTGTGTGTGTGTGTGTGTGTGTGTGTGTGTGTGTGTGTGTGTGTGTGTGTGTGTGTGTGTGTGTGTGTGTGTGTGTGTGTGTGTGTGTGTGTGTGTGTGTGTGTGTGTGTGTGTGTGTGTGTGTGTGTGTGTGTGTGTGTGTGTGTGTGTGTGTGTGTGTGTGTGTGTGTGTGTGTGTGTGTGTGTGTGTTGGTTTCTGGATGATTTAATTGTTGTCCTATGGCAATTGAGACGGCTCAGAAAATATTTGCTCCGTCTCTTTAAATAAAGTCATATCATTTGTATTCATATGTAAATTAAATTCCCACTGTGCTGTGTAGGAGTTTTTAGTTGACTCTACGTTAAGATAATCAACATTGCATTTGAGTAATGTTTGTAGTATGAAAATGAAAACAGGACAACGTGTTTCTTTTAGGGAGTAGTTGTAGAGAAAGCTGCACATGGGAATCAGCGTTCTAGTCTGAGCTTTATGTTTCTGTTGGGGCAAAGTCAGACTCACACATGAGACAGAAGCAGTGGAAAGTCCCCGCGCTGAGACGGAGCCAGTGGTAGTTTTCCTGATTCTCTTTTGCTCTTACTCCCACTCACTGACGGCTGTGTAAGGCTTCTGTACCAGGACAAGACTGGAGGTTTGCAGAAAGAGTCAGACACACACAGAGAAATAGTTCGCACCACACACAGACGTGCATGCAGAACCCATCCACAACTATTTACTCTCCTGCGTATGCCAGAGGTTTGTGCCTCACTCAGCAAACTGTATAAATCAACAAAACCCAAAGTTTGAGCTGGAACACAGCATGTATATAGTAACGCTGTCATGAAGTCGTTTTTGTGGTTGCTTGTTTAAAGTGGCAATAAAACAGTTGCCTTCTACTTGAAAATACCATCATTTTAAACTAATTATCATCATTTACACCCACGGCGAGGCGCCATTTTGGCAGCGTAAGCATGTCAGTAGACAGACTTAACTGTCAGTTCATACTCAGTCATGTTTGAAGTGACCACAGTAAAGTCAACTGTAGTTGGTGCTATACTTTGAATTCAGTCTGGTTTTGTCATTTCTTTTCATCTTTTATAATGGTTGTACTGCCTCATACGTCATTATTAACTTTCTACCTCTTGTCTCCCTCCCTCCTCAGGTGAAGCAGCTCTGAGGGGCGACCCCAGACTCCAGTCCCTGTCCCTGTCCTCTTCCTCATCCTCCTCCTCATCGTCGTCCTCCTCCTCTTCCTCCTCCATCTCCAACCACAGGACGGGTCCTCCTCCCATCAGCCCCACCAAGAGGAAGCTAAGCGGGGACCAGGGCGACAGCGACATGGACGACAACGAGCATGTGGCAAAGATGAGCCGCCTGTTTGCCACTCAGCTGTGAGTACACACACTCAACTGGCACTTATACGCTATCTAACAAAATCCATTATGAGGAGCTTAAAATAACGTTATTTATAGATGCTCATTTCCTGAGGCCCTAGTGAAATTATTTATATATATTTCTATCCCTTCACCCGGTCTATCTGACACTCACACAAACATTGAGAAGGCCACCTTGCTGTCTAGAAGCTACATTTACACACATACTAGACCCACTGTTTTTAAAGTCAATCCAACTTCAGTGTTTCTGTTGGCCACGTGTTTTGCGGGCTCCTCGCTAGGTAAAACTTTGCCCATGCAGGCTGTCTCAGAAGTCCCAGTTTGGACTCCGGGGTGCTATGCCAGGTTTAGCCGGCTCCACAGAGTTCTCCTTATAGCCGCAGATCTCTGGAAGCTTGAAAACAGGGAGATTACTCACATCTCCAGCGTTCCCACATTCCCACTTCCAGAGATTCCACAGATTCTGGTGTGCTGATTGGCTGTGAAGGACTGCTGGGGCCGGGTCAATGGAGTCACAGCAGCCCCCCCCCCCCCCCAACACTCTCTTTCTCGGTTTGACTGAGTCAGTCATGGGACTCCGGCCATGCTATTTATTGCAGAGATGTTATGTGGAACTGTGCAGTTCTGCATGCATGCTAATTCCTCAATAGGTCCTGTTGCTGGAAATACAAGCAATTTGAGGAATGATCAGCTGTTGTTTTTATGTTGCTACTTTCATTGCATTGTTAGGTGTGTCAGTCAACATGGCTGGGAGGTGGCACAATGGGAGATGATATGGATATACTGGAAGCCCTGGATTAAGAGATGTATGCATGAGAGCTTGGACAAACACTTGCTGCACATTTGCACACTAAGCAAGTGTCTGAAGGAACATCCAACATCCTTTTTTGTTTCGATCACGTTCAGACTGTTATGTTAAATATGCGTCTGTAGTCAGTTTTTGTTTTTCATAGCAATTACAAAAAAAATAGCGAATCACAGACATAGTACGTACCCAAGTCACTCATGCACAATAATCCAATCATGACTAAATATTCTTTATGCTGACATGTTCCAAACACGTAGCTAAATTCTCTTCTTTCCTATCGCGCAGTCATAACTCAAAAGCTCTGCCAGTCATAGCAAATGTGCAGTTCATTGGTGAAGCAATAGTCTGCAATACATCTGATATCATCCTGGGCTTTACAGTGATTCTCATCAAAGTCATTGCAACAGTTGTTTATTGTCACCATTTGTTGTCAACGGCTTGTGTTAAAGGTAGCAATTCTATGACTTTTGATTGAAGTCTTGTAGTGGCACAGGGAGAGGGTCTTTGTTCCTTCATCTCGTGACTGTCTGGCCTCACGTAACAAAGGATTAGCTTGTGTGTCTTCTTGACATTAGTGCAGTCATCTTGACTTCTTGTGTCTGTTATGGATGTGTCAGTGGTGGGAGAATTAGCATTATACACTCTAACCAGGCAGTAAATCCATCTTCCCACTTGGAGTTCTTTCTGTTGTGTTAGTTGTTTTTCCACTCTCTTTACGATGCGGTTCACTTCTGCATACATTGATAAGCAAATTTCTCCAACTCGTGTATCACGAGTTGGAGTTTTATTTCATAAGTTGGTCTGCTAAAGTACAATGGGACTTATTGTCATATCAGCTTTCAGTTGGTGTTGCAACTCCTGGCCACAGCTTCTAAATGCATCCATTTTGTTGAGTAAAACGTAGGTTCTGTCAAAGGAAAACTGAACTCAAAACTCTATGTTTATGGCTTTCCAAACTGCTCATTGTAGCATGATTATTTACTAGAATTAACCTGTGATTACCCTTAATCCCTTTATTTCATCTTAATTTAATTATGACCTTGGAAGTCATTTGGCTCCAGGTACTGTTGGTTACTCTCTTCACAAGAAAAGTCAATTGCTTGTTGACTTGCTGCAACTTGAAGTTAAACCCTGGGGTTTTTCTGAAGCTTCATCACGATGTAGTTGCAGAACATTTGCCTCGGGTCCATCCTAAATGCATCGCTTTTTTTGTCATTTCATTTGAGGTTTCTCTGAGGGCATGCTTTCCCTGGCAAAGGGAACTTCTGAGAGACTTGTTTAAACCTGCAGTCAGGCGGCCTCTGACAAACTTTTCCTCCTTGTTTTTCTGCCTTTCCAAAGAACAGTGATTACACCAAATTGGAGAATGATGGGTTATTGTTACAGGAAAAGTCAAGCTAAAAATAATGTGGTGAAAACAGCCTTTTATAGAAAACACTGGTGGGTACTTTGCTGTCTTTATTTAAAATACATGAGCCGTCCGCTTCATTTAACTCAGCTGTCAATAGTAGGAACAGTGATTAGGTTTCATTTGAAAATGATGGACTTAGTTCTTTGGAAACAGCTTGCCAACAAGCTAGAGAAAAAACCCAGGCCACCCCTCACCACACCAAATGTGTACACACACACACACACACGTACGCACGCACACGCACACACTCAGTTCAAATGTCCAGAGATGGTTATCTGACACCATTCTAGCTGTTGGATTTTGCTGGCTGCTTCTGCCTGTGTAGCTTGTTTTTTTGTCTGCACTGATTGCTCTGCTCAGACTGTTATTGCATGTTCAGGAGCTTTTGTGTTCATTCTCCTCTTTAAAAGAAACACCTTTGTTTTGCTTAAATGGCAGTTTTCCCTTGTGCTGACAACATAGGTTGCTAAATGATGTGCGTTTCTGTCACAAGGCTTATAGTAGGCGTTCTTTTGTCTTTTCAATTCAGTCATATTTCAGACAGGCACCTGACACCTTAGACTTGAGGCGGGGCTAAGCGGCAGGAAGCTCAGGTTACTGCCAATCATAACAAGCTGGAGTCAGCGTAGGCATAGACTGGGGAAAACAAAACTTTCTGAACCCTCTCAAGGCTTTTCTCTTGGATACGGGCACGATAAATGAGGGGATTTTGATATTGTCGAACGGCTGTGAATTAAATGTGGTTGAGTTTATTCTTCTCAGCCATCTTAGTGTTTTATGGTGAAGTCACTATTGTAATATAAATACAAAGTTTATAGCATGGTAAATTCTACATAGAAAAGTCTGAACACATCGATAGGCCTATAGTTGCAGGCTGATATGTGGAAACAATCTCTTTGTACTGAGTCTGCAGAGGCCTTCTGCAGCCACTGCAGGTATGCACACGTGTTGTTGTGTGCGCTGTCCGTACATGCATGTGTGCTTGCCCATCTGTGATAATCTGTGTGTGTGCATGTGTGTGAGAGGGCTCCTTGTCAGGCAGCAGAGGCAATACTTTCTCATTTTCTCTGAGGAGTAGGAGGAGTCTTGAACAAAGAAGCCTTATCCTGTCCACTGGAGCCTGCGGGCTGGAAGCCTGCTGCTGCCTGCCCGCCGCTCTGCAGTTGTAGAGCCGCCAGAATAAGAGTCCTCTAGCTCAGCTGTTTCATTCCTCCTTAGGAATAGGAGCCGGTCCCAGAGCAAGGCTTTTTATAGGGTTTTAATTGGGGAATATGACTGCAGGAAAGTGTATGCAGCAGCCTGGTTACATGTGACTCACTGTTGATTTTCTCAGGTCTTTGATGTTTATCGAAACTAAGTGTATTTTTTTTTTCAATTATAATATACCAAGTGTATTGTGTATATTTTCTGTATAGTAAGTTGCTTAGCTGAATTACATTTTAAAAACCATTAAGTCAGACTTTGATGAACCTGACAAGTTGACCTGGGGATTGCTTGGAGCAAATGTTCTTTTTTTCCTCTTTCTCATGTTTTGTTCATGCTCTTACTGGCTGCATTTCCAAAAAGACATACTGACCACGACTTTGTTCATCTTTCTCTCTGCCTTGCTTTTATTTTATGATTCTCTCAAACGTAATTCTGTTAAAAATGGCCCTGAAAGCTACATTTAGTCAGTGTAGCCAGTTTGCTGCAGTAAGTACTGTAGCATACAGAACGTGCAGCTGCCTTCTACTGGGAACTTCATCAGTAAATTGTTCTCATGGAAGTTTCCCCAAAGGCCAAATTGGGGGGAAAATAAGAGAGGAGGAGTCTGTGTGTGTGTGTGTGTGTATAGTTGCGTTTGGTTTGTGTGAGTGTGGTCAAGCCAGGTGAGGTCATTGCTACTCGCTTGATGGTACTGGACTATTTAGTGTAGGAGCATGTGAGAAAAAAAGGGGTATCATACAGCGTGTGTTTTTTCTTCCTGTGTGTGTGTGTGTGTGTGTGTGTGTGTTCTCATGTTGTTTTCTTTGCCTGCTTGTTATGGTTGTTCCCATATCCGATCTGTTCCAGCTTTAATAACAAAGGATTTTCTTCAGTTCTCTTTCTCTGCAGTCACTTTACCGTCCATTATGTGCTAGACTTCTATCAGCATTGCTGCGTGAGTGGAAGTCTAAAAGATTTGAAATGGCTGTGTGAATCTGGCTTGTTGTAGATGTTTGGCCTGATTTACCAAACCGTTTTCAAGAATTCTTTGTAAGAATAATTTCCATTTCATGTTCCATGTCGAGAACGATTACCAATTTATTCCAACACTACTCTGTAAATCACATCTGTAAGGTGTATTTTCTCTGGTTTTTGACTCTTCTATTTTAAAGGATACAAATATTATTGCTAACTTCCGCTCAGTCCCGCAACTCAAACTTGAACTGAGCAGAGTGAACTGTGCTGAAATGTTTGTATACTTTATATACATAGCTTGGGTAGGCTCTGTGGCTCACTTTCTGTGTGTATATCCATTTTGTGGGTTTCAGCAGAGCTCGGGCCTGGTTGTAACCTGCGGTTGAGTTTTTGTCGTCTTCTCCTCTCTACGCCCTGATTCTTCCCAGATGTTTCCTGTGTGTCTCTCTCTCTCTCTCTCTCTCTCTCTCTCTCTCTCTCTCTCTCTCTCTCTCTCTCTCTCCTCTCTCTCTCTCTCTCTCTCTCTCTCTCTCTCTCTCTCTCTCTCTCTCTCTCTCTCTCTCTCTCTCTCTCTCTCAAGATTTACAGTGAGGTTTTCTCTAAAAGACTAGAGGACAATTGTGAGAAAAGGCGTGGAACTTTTATAGCTCCTGTATCTTTGCCTCAATGTAAAATATAGCTAACTCACTAAATTGGCAGTCTACTATAAAGCTAAACATTATGGGTTTATTTGTTTGATTCACTTTCCATTTTGACAATTGGACAAGTTAGCTCAAAGAAAGCGGCTTGTTTTAAGAAACACTTCACAGGGCTGACTATGTGCTTTGTTCACTCAAGTCACTCAAACATGGTCGCAGTCATGATCTTTGACTTGAGGTTAACTTAAAGACAGGGTGTCATTGTGAAGGGTTACTCAAAAGGCTGGCCTTAATGACAGATCAGTGTGCTGTAAGATTGTTTAAGATATATGACCATCATTTATGTATTGAGGGTTGGACTCTCTAACTTTGAAATGAAATAAAATATCTATTCTGATGTCAGTCACACGGTTCTCATTATGAAAACAAACCGGTGGGAAAAACCTTGCAAATATTCAAGTAAAGAAGACGGACCAAAGCGAGGTTTTACGTTTTTTGTAGGCTAAAGGACAAATAGGAGTTGTACTGTGCCTGCAGTCAGAGTGCTGGTGGTTTCTGTATATTTGAGTCATTTCTCTAAAATCTATACCAGCATCATTTATATCTGAGCTTCTCTCGGTCTGCCCCCTCCTCAGCGTGGGTCTTGCCCCCTCTCTCTGCCTGTCCCACTTGTAGCTCTCATCCTCTCCTCCAGCCCCAGACATGGCACCCCTCTCCCTTCAGCTCTAGCCTTGTTACCACCCGCATGCGTCTCCCTCGCTGTCCGCCCTCTCCCTCTCTCCCCAGCTGCGACCCTAACCATAATTGAGAGGTGAGTATGAGAGACAAAGACTCAGGGTCGGTTTTGAATGCCCGATTCCTGGCATGGACTTGCGGTCCGGGGTTTGGTGGGCAATCAGGCGAGGAGGGGCGGGGACGGCAGTGGATTCGACAGCTACGCCATTCATTGGTCGGATTTGTTGATCCTGTTCACTGGCTCCTGCAACGGCCCCTCTTGTGTGAGGATGTGGGCATGCCTGCTCCTTGGCAATGATTAAAGTTTGGAACAACTTCCACAATCTAACTCAATACCCAGCTGCTGAGAGGGAGAGCTTTATTATCCGTTTGCCTCTAAAGTAATCTGCCGGTTGTTTATATTTGACGATAAGAGAGTTTTACAGGAGGTTACAAAAGTTAATTTGTTCTATACAAATATTTAAAACAACAAATTCATTATATTTACCTGTACTCCACAAGGCCGTTATTTATTGACTTTTCGACACAGATAACTGATGCTACTATGAGAAAACATTGGAGCCCGTTGGCGAGCGGTTGGCCAGGGTTTCTAAAAGCGCTGCCAAGTCTCTCCCTCTTTAACCCTCGGGAAGTTTGCTGCGGATTGTGAGGAGAAAAGAGAAAGAATGACAAAGAGAGTAAAAAGAAAAGGGGGGTCTCTGCTAATGTAAGCTCGGCACAAACGAAGGAAACTATCGACCTCACTCTTTCTTATAGTAGAGGTCCGGACCATTCACATGCAGCCCCCCCCCCCCGCCTCTCGGCAGCTCTTCCTCTCTCCCTCTCTGTATTCTGTGGAGACTATTTATTTGTGGAGGACGCTGCTGTGGGTTCCAGATGCTTGACCCAGCAGTCAGGTTGCCTGGTCACATGGATCTACAACTGTTTGCCTGAATTCTTGTCTTGCATCGAAACAAAAAAATTAAAATAAGCTGCAGCTTTTTCGCTCTTCACATTCAGGCTTTTCCCGGAGAAAAGCTCCCGCACAGTATCTGTTGAAGCACAACGAAGGAATTTCCTGTATTTTTGAGTGCAGCTTATTATTTATAGTACAATGTACCGTTGTTTTGTTTTCCAAATGGAGGCTTTTGTGTGTATGTAAAGTGTTTATGTCGGTGTAGGAAGTAGGAAGTCAGTGAGTTCTAATTTGTGAATGGCTGTGTCGTTATGCATGTGGCTTTGAGGTTGGAGAAAAGGAGAGATAGTAAGAGGCAATAAATCTTGCTCCCTGAAACTGGGCCTCAAACTGTAGGAGGGGCGTGGAGCTGCAGTCAGGGTGTAATACACAGTTGAACACATACAGAACACAGACCACATTTGATGCACTGAGCAAAAATAATTGCTACTGTTAAACTGGAAGCAATGGCGCACGGTATCAGGCGCCGCCAGTTCTCTACAAATCAAACAAGTCTTTTTCATTAGAGCTGGAGAAAAAAGAGGCTGAAATCTGTGTTTTGTCCAACTGTCGTTACTTTAATCTCTTGCCCCTTATCGCTGCTTTTTCAATGATTAAAATGTGAGCTCACAGATTGGAGAGGGGGATTTTGTTGTGGTGGGAAATACAACTCTTTCATATGGAAACTGTGGCAGCCTAACTTTTTTTTTACTTTTAGTATTCAGTTCATGGTTGTAGAGTAAAAAACGAATGGATCAACTTTAGCAAATGAAAGTGTGTTGAGATGCAGATAGAGGCAGCTCCTCTGCATGTGTCTGTGCTGTAGGAGCCCTGCTGGATTTTTCCATTGGACAGCAGTGATTGCAGCTGGTTTCAGGCTCACTGGGGAGATACAGTTGATACGCTGTTCTGAGGAAACCACTCCACAGCTTTGAACTTTGTGCCTGTTTGCCCCTCTGTGCAGGGAGACGTTTGGAGCCCATCCATGTTGGATACAGTTAGAGTTCCTTCCTCCTTCATTAACAGCAAACATTGTGTGTGCGTGAGAGAGAGCATGTGCTTGTACAAAATAGTCTTATCAGACCCTACAGCATTCTGAAAAGAGAGTGTGTGTGTGTGTGTGTGTGTGTGTGTGTGTGTGTGTGTGTGTGTGTGTGTGTGTGTGTGTGTGTGTGTGTGTGTGTCTGTGTGTCTGTGTGTGTACTACAATCAGTCTTTTGTTTAGCTTACCTCTCTTTGCCCTCAACCCTTTCTCGGAGCCCCTTTCTACCTGCCTTTATTCCTTTCTTCACACTGCTCATCTTTTCCATTAGATACACGATCTGCCACCAGCCTGCTGTTTTATTTTTGTATTGCGCTCATCCCTAACACACAGATTTCTGTTTTAAAAACATTTGATAAGGGGCCATCTCAGTAAACTACAAATATTTTAAATGTGCATTTCTAATCAAATCTGAGTGAGAGGAAAAAAAAGCAGTTCAATAATGTTCCTCTTTCTGTCCCTCTGTCCTCCAGGAAACCCAATGGAGACTACCGCAGCTCTCCCATGTCCAAGGACCAGAGCCGGAGCCCCATCGAGCGCGTGATGGTGCCCAGCGCTCTGGGAGTCCACGGCAACCACCTTTACAGCCATGCCCACCACCACCACCACCACCACCACCATCTGGCTAGCTTAGCCGGGATGGACCAGCCGCTGGCGCTCACCAAAAACAGCATGGTGGAGTCTGCACGCAGCAGCACGGCAGCTATGGCAACAGTGCCGCACGCAGTCAGCGCCGTGGAACGCCAGCAGGTAACCCGCACTTCCTGTTTCTCTGGTTCGAGCACCAGACTACATCTTTTTCAAATTGTTGGGTAAAACCTCAACCCATGTAGAACCCCCCCTAGATTTAAGCAGTGTGCTTTCATTAGCCAGTCTCCTTGGATGGTGGGGAGGATAGATGTTCTATTTTCAAACCCTTGTGGTCAATTTATCATTCCACCTCCCTTTGGTCCGTTTTCTTTGCTTGAATATGTCCCAACACTTTGTGTTTCAGAATCGTCCTTCAGTGATCACATGCGCCCCAGCCAACAACCGCAACTGCAACCTGTCCCACAACGGCTGCTCAAGCCTGGCTAACAACTACAGAAGAATCAACAGTGAGTCCAGACACAGCAGAAAGACAGACACGTCCTACGTCTCTAAATTCTAGTGTATTCATTGATTCAGTACTTAGGTTTATTGTAGAAAGACCATGATGGGTGGACAAACCTCTGTAATCCATTGTTATGAAGTACTGGCCACATATGTCCCTAAAATCATAGTTTTCCATAAAGTGCACTTTGTTGGAATCCTTTTCACAAGTGCAAATCAGCCTCCAGACAAAACACAACCGCTTATACTCCTAACATTCAGACGGACTTGCTAAAATTAGTGATGCTAAAAAAAAATCCCCCCAGCTCTCGGTCAGCGAGTCTCAGAGGCTTCAACACTCTTTATTTATCACCTCGTCTGTTATCTCGTCACTCGAGGCTTCAGCCAAACACGTCTGTTTTTATTCGTCCCGCCTGTGTGTGTCGGTCATGTTTCCCGTGGCTTCACTCGACTGTGGCCATTTTTATGATCTTAGTGAAATCCCTATGATCTCATTGAGGTTAACAATGACATTTAAAACGGTGATTTAAAATAAATAAAAACGCAATGAGAAAGTGGAGCCGAGTGTCTGAGTTTTCCGTTGACTTCAAATGCTCATTAGAAGTGTTTGAACTGATGCTTGGCAAAAGAAAACTCCCACTGAACTTTATATTAGTGAGTTTAAGAGATGTTTCTGTTTTGATTATGGGAACTAAACACTCTTTCCTTTCCTCTCTGTTTCAGCCAATACAGCCTGCGACCCGGTGATTGAGGAGCACTTCCGCCGCAGTCTGGGTAAGAACTACAAGGAGCCCGAGCCCACCGCCTCCAACTCTGTGTCCATCACCGGCTCGGTGGACGACCACTTCGCCAAGGCGCTGGGCGAGACCTGGCTGCAGATTAAAAACAAGGGGAGCCCCTCGTCGTCCGGCAGCAGCCCAAACTCCTCCCCCGACAGCCACATGGTCAATCACAACCACTCCCCTTCTGTGGTCTCCTGAAGGAGGCGGGGTTTCAGAGGGATTTGTCCTTCTCTCCCCCGATCATCTCGGCTCCAAAACCCATGCCCTCGTCACTTTGTTCTGTCACCAGCATCCCAGAGGGAATGCCTGCCTGCTGGTCTGCTAAAAACATCAAAAAAAAACTCAAGTCTGCACTCATAGAGAATCAAGCAATAACAACACGGACGTTTCCCCCCCCTTCTGTCTTCTGGTGGTAACGCCAGACTATAATGAGTGATGAGGTTGGACTTTGGGACTCGACCGGAGCATCAAGCTGCTCCGTCCAATCATTCATCATCCCTGCATGTCGAGCTTGGAGCTGAGCGAAGAGTCTGTAGTTTTATGTACATAAAGAGAGGAGAAAGGCGATGTTTTAATTATTAATTTTCTTCTTTATCCTGTTTGTTTGTTTCTTTAACAGTAGTTTTGTGTACTGCTTTTTGCGTTATGAGATGCCCGACTTTTGGAAAAAGAGAACACTTTGGAGAAAAGTCATCACAAACCACCCCACTGTGCTACCAAAGAAACCTCGACGATGTTTATGAACGCCCACCTCGAAAACAAAACAACAAGAAGCCATCATGTGATCTCCCTCGGTTTTGTATCTCTTTTCATCCTCTCACTATCCTTCTCTCCCTCTGCCCTGTGTGTGTTGTGCTGGTGTTGTTACTGTATGAATACTTAGCTGATCCATTTAGCTTGCACTGCTGCCATAGAGGGTAACGAGTGACACATCAAGGTTTTAATGGGGCTGATAACGCTGATTTGACACAGTCTGCTGTCATCCTGCCCAAGTAGAAAACTCCATTAGATTTCAACAACAGTTCATCTGAAGACTAGCTGGGAATATTCTCACCCTGGGCCTGGCACGACATTTAAAGTAGCATTGTTATGCTTTTGTTTAATGAAAAATGCATAGTAGTGGGGTTGGGCAGTATAACATGTTAGAGATGTCCTTCGTAACACACATGTGGGTACCCCACGCTTCAATATGAAGCACATGTGGTCACATCACAGCATGTTAAGTATAGCTGTTAACTACAAACACACGCTTGCATAGTAAGAGAAGTTAAGGAACAACGTCAGGTGTAAACTGCTTCATGCTTATTATTGGTAATGGTGCCAAATAGTTGCAAGCACAGGCAGGTTATGGGATCAGTTAACTGCAGTGTGGATGGACATCACAGGCATTATGAGAGCAGCTCAGGGCTGAAACACAGCTGTACCAGAGTCAGTGTAGCTGAACAATGAGCTTTGATGTATTCCACTGGCTTAACTGCTGACAGTGATGAGGGGATAGGTGACGCTGCATGTCACTTTGTGGTTGGGGGGGGAGGAATAGTCTGGTTTCTGGACCGGGGGAGAGAAGATTATTTCGATCTCTTCACACACACCTTGGTTTTTGTGTCTCTTTGAACACGGGTGTTGTAATTATATTTGACATACGCCCTGCTACCCCTCCCTCTCCTACACACTGTGGTTTGGTCTATTTCTACAAAGGTTTGAAAAAAATGCTTTTTACGGATGCATGTTTTTTATTGTTTTGTTTTTTAATAGCTGGTATCTATTAATGTTTTTAAGCCGCATTTCAATCCTAACTACTATTAGCCTTTTCATTCAGACGTTAGTTGTTACTTCTTTCGATGTCAGTAACGGACATAGACACTATACACTCACTGCTGGGTCAGTCGTACTCCATATTATTATTGTTATTATGACAATTTTGTATTATTTTGTTTTCCATTAATATCAGTATGGTAACAATCATCTATAGCGGGACAGCCTCCGGACAGGCTCTGTGTAACGATGAGAGCTGCGTTTCTCGAAAACTTTCTCAGCGCCGCTACCGACCAGTCGCTCCCGCAGCAGAGCGGAGATCTTCCTGGTGTTGAGATGGCTTTCGGGATACGCAGCCCATAAAGGTTTTCTTAAGATGTTGATCCATCGGTGGTACAGGACGCTACAACCTTCAGCATGACTGATCTGAGACACCAAATTAGCAAAAAATAGTCAACTAGGCCTTGTTCTCCTGAAAAGCATCTGCAGCCTGAGATCAAATGTACTCTTATGAGTCTGTGTCATCTTAAAGTCACCACCTCGGTACCAGCCTTAACTCCCATTACTGCTGCATTACTAAAAGTACTTAATATAGAATAGTCTAGCATGCGATGATGCTTTCAAGTAACAGGGTATTGTATAGTAAGCTTATTAATGTTTAAGAGCTAAAACAAACGTTAATTAGATACATTCGGATCTCACAGCTCTAATACTTCACCAGTTGACTCTTTTCTGTCCTGACTTGGTGTCCAGATCTTTTTTAATTCAATGCTTTCATTTTTGAACAACCTTGTATTGTATCTGCAGTTAAGCTAGACTGCTGCAGTTGAGACACAAATCCTTTTACTGTTGAAGAGCCTGCGCCAAGGTGGCATACATTCCTCCTATAGGGAATTTAGTACAGGCCTCAGTTTCTCCTTATCAACAGACAGAGCTCATAACAGCCACGGCCAACTGGGTTTCTGACACTTTCCCGGAGTTACAATTGATGTGATAATAAAAGGAGAAATAAGCTTTCTTTTTAAAAACAGACCACCTTTTTGAGAACATTGGGAGCATAGAATATACTGAGGCCGTAACAATAGACAGTGATGGGAGTCATACTGCAGCAAAGAACAGAATGATTTCATGTCTCTGCGCTGAGGCTGAAAGGTGACGCGGTTCATATGTGTTTGTGATGGATGTACTCATCCTTTATCAAAATGACCGTAACCACAGTTAAGTACTCTTTCTCCCATGTTCTAGAATGACCACACATTCCATCCTAGACTGAAGCAAACTGACAATGACAGTTGTAGAATCAGATTGAGATTTACAGCATGTTCGATCAGAATGACACTCCCAGTGGAATCATTTCCAAAACGAATAAGTACTCTTAGTCTAAATGTGCTTTCTGTGACAGCTTCAGAGTTTGGATGGAGATGTTTAGCGGGGAGGAGCAGGGCTTCAGGAGCTGAGCTTCTGTAAGCACGACCTGTGAGCCAGGAGATGTTCGGCTGCCACTGAGGGTCTCACAGCCCTCCCCCCTCAGATTCAGCAGATTTATATTTGATGTAGAAAGCAACATGTGAGAAAACACGAGGGAAAAGGGCTCAGTGTCCAGAGGATTTTGTTTTTCTATTTTTCTTTCTCCTTATTATTTCACTACCACCCTGTAGGTAGGAGGCTCTCTCTTTGCTTCGGCACACACTCCCTACACGCTGTAGGAAAATCACTTAATACAAAAATACTTTTTTATAATAGGTAACTATAAGACCATCATTACGCTGTGCGTAAGGAATGTACAGAGAAAAAAATCGTAGGTATTTTTTGAGGAACAATTAATTTGTTAATGATATGTAGCTATTTAATTGTTTTTTTCCTGTCCTTATATTGTAATCATTGCATTTTCTTTTTTGTGAAAAAAGTTGATCTTTTTTGTTTATAGAGTTTGTCTTGTTAGAGTAAAGGTTCAAGTGCAGGAACACAGCAAACGTATGAAACCACAATAAGGCCACTGGTGTGTCGGGGACAATCGCTACTTCCATTGCAATGTCCTGCAATCATTTAACTTGTGTTCGATCATGTGACTCCAGAGACATCCGAACAAAAGAGTCTGTCCTTTTAGAGGCCTATTGAACATAACCCTGCCACTAGCCCATTGAGCCTTGCCGGCCATTTCCATTTAACTATTGAAAAGATAATAACAACAACATTGTGATGGGCTAGCAGGCGAGTACGTTTTCCACATGTGCGGGTAAGGGTTATAAATGTTGGGTTTTGAAGGTATTTTGATGTTTTAGATGGGAACTGAGCTACAAATGAGAACCATCAGTCCATTTGATAACAGATTGGCTTTTCACTGAAATCAGAATTCTGAACTGGTGAAAATCCTGACTGCATTTTCATACTTTTTGTTGTGCTCAAGTTCATCGTCTGCATGTCTGAAAATAGGCTTTGGTTCATCACCCTTGTATCTGATGTGACATTTCCCATCTGGAGGCCATTTTGATCTGTAACCAAGTGAACAACATGAAAATTGTGCAGATAAATCAAAGCGGAGTTGGTCTTTACTTTGGCTGTACCACAATTTCCTGGTCCTTTTTGAAGTGGAAGTAGCATGTACTTAGTGGTAGTAATACTCTGAACTGTAAAAAAAAAATGGTATCAAGTAAACTACAGTCGATTTGTGGCTCTGTGTCTCTACTAAAAAGGTTTTGGCAGGCCACCTTTTTTTGTACGTAAAGTAGCCTTGATGAACAATAAAGTGCTTTTAAACCACTGTCTGACTGTGTGGGCCCCCGTCACTGTGTGTGTGTGTGTGTGTGTTGAAAGACAATGGGTGGAAGATGCAGCTACAATGAGCAAATATAATTAATTTCACACAAATCAATATTTTCATTGCAACTCACTCACAGAAGAACAAATAGTAAAGAGACCGTTTATTCATTGGTTATACTTACAGAAGAAAAAAAGCATGACAAAAACAACTGAGAATAGAACATTGAAAACCAAGTCAGAATTATAAATGCCATCTCAATTTTGAGAAATTCATAACGGGAACAAGTCTGAGGTCAGGATGATCCCGGAATTGTATTTCTCACAATTCTGACATCACTTTTCAAATTCTGAAACGAAGGTTCCATTTTTCTCACGTTGCACTTATTATCTTCCATACATATGAAGGCGGCTGTTGACATGTCGTCACACTGAAAGTATCATACATATAATCAGTACAGAGAAATATCACACAGCAGTAAGAAAAGCAACAGATAAAGACATGCAAGCGTCACCACTAACAGACCATAAAGACCTTCAGTTTGTCCGTCGGCTCTTTTATATTAAACCGTGCAGTTTTAGCTTCCAGGTTGTCTATAGCAACAGTAAAAAATTTCCACATCAGTTGCACAGTATGAGCTAGTTTTATTATTAACTGCACTGTATGTATCACAGTCTCCGGTAAACACACAGGGAGATGGATGGATTTGCTGAGTTGTCAACTGTGTTTTTGTAATTTAATAATCAATCTGAAGCACTCCGAGTGAGCGAACAGATGTTGTTAGTCAACGTCTTGCCAAAGGACACAGCAAACCCATTAAATGTGTTGATGGAGAGACGGTGGGGGGGATTGAATCTGGGTCTAGTCGGTGAGATTTTTTTTAAAGACAAAAATAAAGCCCATTAATACAAGTGTTTTGTTGTGTTTTGTCTCAGGTAAACATTGAGTGAATGTGACTGATAACACACCATGAAGAGATAGGAACTACATTCTCCCTTAAATACAACAGCTTAATACTCACAAAGTGAAAAATGAACTGACGTAAAAGTGAAAACAGAAATTCACTGAATACTTTAGCAGTTAAACTTTTATTGTTTATAATTGTAACCATATTACTCGTGAATCCAAATGAGCTAATAGGAATTGTATAGCTTTTATTTTAGCTGCATTCCTGGTAGTTTAGCTTGGTTTGAGTTGTATCTGTGAATCTACTGTCACCCGCAAAGCCCTTTTCATTTGTACATATCCTTAAAAAACCCAAATCAGACAGAAGCTGAAGGATCGGGGGGGGTTTGTTTCTCCAGTCCTTCAGATGCTCTCATCGTCGCTCATATCCCAAATCTAAGGAGGAAAGACACAACAGAGAAAGAAACAAATTAATGGAAGTTTTGTCTAAACAATGTTCGACTCTACAGTCCTAACTCAAGGTTCTTTCTGGGGCTTTTAGCTGCATCTTACAGTCTTCAGTGCAATTTGCTCAGTGAGTAAAGGTCCCATATTATAGTATTTTTCTACAATATATTATAGGTCTCAGATATACAAAAAACATGTCTCTGAAATGTTTGGCTTAAAACACCAAACAGATCATGCATTGTAGCATCCCATAAACCCCTCTGTTTCAAAAGTGCTAATTATGTATCTGTACCTTTAAATTCATCTCTCAAGATGTTTGGTTTCATAAAACACAATGGTGCTCTAGGAGGAGATTCAGGTGATAAGGTGGGGGGGGGGTGTTAACTTGGTTGGTGATTGGCTGGTTACACAACCCAACAAAAACATTGTGACATCACAAAATGTCCAAAATCTGCTGATTTTCAGACCAGCTTTTATATAAATGGATCAGGAGAGAAAGAGAGAGAATATTTTTTGCTAAAACGTTCCAAATCTCTTTACACAGATACATGTTTATGTATAAAAGACATGAAAAAGTGGATTTTGCATAATAGGTGACCTTCAGATGTCTGATGTATGTACAGTATGAATGTAACAGTCATAATTCATCATAAGCATGGCAATAACAGCTGTTTTGACTTCATTTCTATGCATTAATAAAAACTACAAATAAGTAACCAGAAATATTAAGTACAAATCTCCAACATCGTAATACGATACAATGCAGACCAACACAGGCTCAGAATGGAGTGAGCCACTGCTTTACGTCAACGTGGCTGCACTGATGTAATACACGATTACTAATAGACACCATGTTTGATTTGATTTTAAAAACAGGAGGCGACAGATAACCACACAGACCGGTCTAAACAAGTGGCTTGTAAGTCGCAACAGTAAAGCTTTGATAATAATTACTCACAATCAGTGCTAAGAAGTTTCTTACCAGGAAGTGACAGCAGCATGTGACTCTCTCTCACCCCCACAGAGACACACACACACAACTCCTTTTCACTACTGTGTCAGTAAACAACAGCGGCCTTCTCATGGCAGCAGATTCCTCACATTCTCTCTCTGTAAGACGTAATTCACATACCTCTAATACTGCCTGGAATGTTACACACTCATGGCTCTGAGTGTGTACACACACACACACACACACACACACACACACACACACACACACACACACACACACACACACACACACACACACACACACACACACACACACACACACACACACACACACACACACACACACACACACACACACACACACACACACACACACACACACACACACACACACACACACACACACAGTTTGACACATACATGCTGCATTCCTTTGATTGTGCTGCTTCGCAACTCAAAGAGCTGAAATACCAGTGTCATTAACTTCAACTTGTTTTGTTTGTGTGCGTTCCACAGGTAATACGCATGCAGAGACAGGTGTATTGTTAGGAGCTCGTACTTAAAGAAACCAAGACAAAGTGTTGCGTTTCTCTTTGACAGGCCTTTACAAAGAACATATTAAATCATTAGAGAAAAATTCACAAACCATGTAGACAAACAACTAAAAAAGGGGCTGCAACTGACAATAATTGTCGCCATTTAATAAGAAGGTTATTTGCCTCAATAATTAGAAATACAAATCTCAACTTTCCAGAGCCAACTTTCCTGGTTATTGAGCAGCATGTGAGGTAAACATGCTAAAGTTTAAATATGTCTACAGGTGAGCATGATGTGTATTTATATATCGCGTCATGTAAGGAAAAGCAAGTTCTCAATAAAAAACAAATAATAAATATTGACATAGTTTGAGATGGACCCATTCTCTCAGGGAAAGCCTCTAAAATAGGTAGAAAATTACAAAAATGTTTCTTACTGCTTTCTTACTACCCCGTTTACTCAAACTATTCTAGGAGAGTGCATTTACGTAGACACGTGGTGCCTCTCTACCTATACGTCTTACTATCTATTTCTGTTTTTATTTTAACTTTTTTCACCCCTTTTCCCTCAAACTATTTCAGGAGAGTGCTTTTACGTAGACACGTTGGACCTCTCTGCTTATACTTTTTACTTTATTTCCCTTTGGGGAGTGCAATTACGTCAAGGTTCTCTTTTGTCCCTCTTCACTTGTGTCCCTGTCTCATAATTTCCACCCTATTCTAAGGGGAAGCATTTACGCAATGTGGTGCCTTTTCATTTCAGTTTCTTACTTTGTATTTCTTCACCCCTTTCCCTCAAACTATTTTAGGAGAGTGCATGTACGTGGACACGTTGTGCCTCTCTTCCTCTGTTTCTTACTTCTCTTTTCCTACCCCTGTTCCTCAGACCTATCCTAAGGGAGTTGACACATTGTGCCTCTTCGTTTTTACTTTCTAAGGGTCAAAGTTCATATGGCGAGGGATTCCTTTGAGCGACATGCGCCGGCCCGTGCCTTACCTTGGACTTATAATATAACTGCTCGGGTCTTGATGGATTGAGTGGGGAAGTTCAGGAGATATGTGTAGAAGATATGTGTTTTCCTGAATACTTCAAAAAACATCCGAGAACAACAGAACTGTAAAATAAAACATTGCCCTGATTTCCAAGACTGATCGTTCTTACACTTTGTGTTTCTGCTCTGTGTCTCCGTCTCTGCACACATGGAGAGCTCTCAGTTATTGAAACAGTGGAAACACATTTGGCAGATTCATGCAGAGCAATCAATGTGAGACTTCAATTGAGTATAAACAGTACAAACCTCACTGAATGTGTGCCTCATCAACACAGCGATGAACACATTATCCATTCTGAAACAGATTGAGCTTTGGGATGATGCATTACAGCAAAACATCCTGCTCTTTGAATTGAAAAGAAAATGGGTCAGTAATCTGAAACAGTTTCTTTTATACAAGACTCCAGTACAGCCTATGTGAAACTTGAAATATGGTCACTTTCACAATGTGTGGTTTTAGAAATAGTTAAGGGTAATACGCTCATTTTCTTTCTTTCCAAGAGCCGCCATTACTGTATTTGATTTGATTGAAATGTGTGAAGTTCATCCAGTTTTTCAACTGGGCTTTTGGTACCAAGTTGGGTTCGTCATTGTTTTTGTCAGAAGCTTACGAGTATGAATATCTGCTTTCCCCAGGGAGGTTGCAACAACAAGGCTTCCTGTTCCAAATTCTTTGAGCTATAACCTCAGCGTGAGAAGAATCTCTTCAAAAAGTTGTTGCACCTGTTCTGCATGTTAACCTGAATAGTCTACAGTTTAACAGGCTGTGTTGTTTTGTGTTGTTGTTATCTTTATTGGAACTTCTGCAGGCCTTTTCTCACAGTGTGGAGACTGAGGCACAAACTCATATCAGAGCTGGCCGTTTCTGCTCCACTGCTGCCGGGGATCCAGCTTCAAAAGGACAGCAAAGAGCTCTTTGAAACAGAGCGACACTGGAGCCCCTCTCTGGACGGCTGCCATGCCGCGCTGATGCTGTGTGTGTGTGTGTGTGTGTGTGTGTGTGTGTGTGTGTGTGTGTGTGTGTGTGTTTTGAGAAATCTTTTGTGCAAAATGAAAGAGGGGGTGAGGGGGGGTATAGAGGGGGGAAAGACCTTATGTAACGTGAATAGCTCGGGCAAACTGAAGCCAACAAACTTTACTACACTCTTTCAAGCACGACTGAGTACTTGGGATGTTTTCAACCATTAACCTTTCATGCTGTGATGCATACGCTGATTTCTGCAAGGCCGTGCAAACAATATGTTTAAAGTCATGAGACAACAAGCAAATATTGTGTCGTAAAAATAAAGTATGCAACAAAAGATGTCAATAAAATCAAAGTACGGCATATAGCGGGAGGCTGTGGCTCAGTGGGCAGTGTGTGTGTGTTGGACTTGGAATCAGGAGGTAGCAAGTTCGAGTCCCACTGCAGTCAGCATGTCGTTGTGTCCCTGGGCAAGACACGTCACCCCAAATTGCTCCTGTGGGGATTGTCCACAGTATTGAATGTATGTAAGTCGCTTTGGATAAAAGCGTCAATAGAAATGACATGTAATGTAATATAATTTAATCTCAGTAGAAACAAGTAATCTCAATGTCGTCATGTCATAAAAAAGTCATAAACGGTCATGGTTTGGTACAGTATAGGGTCATAGTAGTGCAAGTAATCTAATCTAACTACAAGACAAGCAATCGCTCTGTCTGTCTGTCTCTCTGTTTGTGAGAACGACTTTCACATAAATCGCCAACTGTTCATGGCTTCTAAAAAAGGTTATCTGAAATGGCCTCTCAGCCAACAAAAATAAAAGTAACATATAATCAGCTCTACCTCTGTCTGAAATCAAAGACATAATATAACAAATTAAACATTCAAATGGTAAATCTTCCGTTATTGTTGTAAACGGCACAGGAACCATGGGGGGGTGCAGAGGACTGTAACTCAGTACATTCTCACTATTTAAAAAAACAAAAACAAAACATTGACAGATTACAAACCACCAAACTGATTGTTAGTTGCAACCCTAGCTTGAATTATGCAGTATCTGTCCTTACTGGTGGACCCCCACGCCACACACACACACACATAATCAGACACACAAACACACACACACACCATGACAGCACCTCAAAGGGATTGGCAGACACACAATCGAGGACACACATCTTTAACTTTGAAGCAGCCTTATCACTCCGGGACCTTGAGTCACTGCAGGTTAAAAAGAGGATTGCTGGATGTTTCATAAAGTCCCGCAGTAAGCTGCATGTAATCATTGTGTGAATGTGTTTGTGTTTGTAATCAGTTGGGCTCCGGCTGATATGACAACTATAATCCGGGCTAGTGGTTGAAACAAGGCTGGGATCTGATCAGATAGAGGAGGTTAGCGGGTGCAGTCAGCCAACTCTCTGCTGCCTCTGATAATTGTTCCCCCAAAAACACAACACACGCCTCAGCAGGAGGGTCCTCAGTAATATTTATCATTCTGCAAGCTCGAGTCAAAGCACTGCTTCCGACAGCAGAACCACAATAAACTTGCTCCGGCATCAGAGTTTAACAAGAAGCAACCTTTCAGGCAGTTTGCAAGCACATTGTTTTCTTTGAGGCGAGTAAATTCAAAATACTGAGCCTACTTACAGGAACACATCCTAAGTGTGGGTGGCCCCAGTGGGGATCTTCCCCCTGAAGCCATTCAACCAGGCAGCACCACCACTGATGGGCTTTGATATTAAACACACATCTGCTTCACATATTAGAACTGACACCAAAGCACAAAGAGCAAAGTCAAGCTTTCATCATGGAGGCCGGCTCCATCTGATGTGCAATTAGTGGACCACACAGAGGGACGTGGTTTATGGCTGCTGGATAAACCCACCGCTGCTGTTTGAAGAAAAAAGGAAGAAATCCAGTCATGCTATAATTCTGTTTGTGAGTTAAAAAAAAGCAAACGACATTAAGTGTCATGAGTGATCAGTTTTCAGAGGCAGCATCACTGATGGATTTTTAAACTGATTTGAATTACATATATTAAAGTCGCACAGTTGCTTATGTTTTTACAGTGACACTTCTAAAACATGTTCTCACCAATCATCATTTTTGTGCGGCATTGTTATTTTAGTCCAATTCAAGTTCACTTTATAAGTTGCTTTTAGGCTGGATGTCAAGTGTGTTGCTGGACATTCATTCAGTTAAGTGATTAAAAAAATAAAATGTACTGTAGCAGGGGAGTGTGGGTCTGACTAATGGTTGGTGTATGAGGGTTGATATCTCTTATTGGCCCAGCACTGCAAAGAAACAATATTTCTTCCAAACATTTCACATACATTTATTTTAATTAATTCAATAAAGATAATAAATCTGTCTTTATGCATACTCAACCTTGAACTTCTGTAGCCTTTTAAGTAATGTGGAAGCTTTCAATAGCAGTAGGTCTGCCTTTGTGACTTCTTAATTCAAAACCTGGCTTCACATTTCGGGACATTAAGATGTCTGAAAAAGTTATTTATTCAGCACTACAGTAAATAAAACCCTTTGTTCAGAAATGGTTGATTTTTAATATCACAAATTGGATATGTGGCAGAGAGTTGATGGTATTCAGTCTTTCTAAATGTTTTTAAGATGGCTCACTCAAGATATATGCAAATCATGAACATTGTAAATAGTTGTCACAGGGGTTAGTAGGGATCTTTCACACCACAGCTTTACAGTCTGATCCTTTAACATCCAGAAAAGCTTAAACTGTGTAAGTGCTTCCTGTCTGATCTTCAGATGAAACCTGATGATCATCAGCTTGTTGAAACATCAACACGGGGCAATTACTGCAAACTTCACAAGGGGTGTCAGCTACGGAAATGTTTGTTTCCTCTAACAAATGACCTGACATCTGTTAGCCAGGGGGATGCATTTGAGGATTTATGTTAATGAGATGGCATATTTCCCCTTTCATCCCCTCTCATGAGAGCCCCCAAGGGCAGGCTTAACGCCCTGAAGGGGGAGGAAGACCCACCCAGCTACATCACAACGAGAGGAACTTGTTCTGAAGTTAATGACATTTGAGATACAACAGAGTTGTTCATTCTTCAGATCTCCATGTACGTTAATCACTGACAATTCAAGCTTAGGGAAAACAAAAATGTGTATTTCCTCCACATCTTCTTCTTCCTTAATCTTTCCTCTTGACTCCTTTTTACCCTGCCTAACCAATACAGCTCAAACACGACGGATGGTTTCATAAAATAAAATTCTGTATATTTTATTCCCTTGAAATGTTAACATTATTTAGGATCAGGCTTTTTTTAATTTATAATGTATTTTAAATTGTAAAGTTAAACTCAAACACTTCGATGAAATGATGACTCATCCACCTGTACACCACACACACACACACACACACACACACACACACACACACACACACACACACACACACACACACACACACACACACACACACACACACACACACACACACACACACACACACACCACACACACACACACACACACACACACACACACACACACACACACACACACACACACACACACACACACACACACACACACACACACACACACACACACACACACACACACACACACACACACACACACACACCACACACACACACACACACACACACACACACACACACACACACACACACACACACACACACACACACACACACACACACACACACACACACACACACACACACACACACACACACACACACACACACACACACACACACACACACACACAGGGAGGTGAATAAATAATGTAGTTTGGGTGTAGCCTTTCTGAGGATTCAGTTTCCGGTATGGAGGAGTATTCAGCTGTTAAACGGCAGCTCTTTGAAGAACAAAAGACGTGATAAGGTCTTCTATCACCTGAGGGGCGTCTGAGGGACAATTCTTTCTCTGGTTTAGCTGGAACCTGAACACGCTTGAGTGGGCAAATGAAGATAGAAAAAAATGAATTGCTTGAGTTTGATCTATTGAAGGTGAGCCCTGAGGATAACAGGTGTGTGTTCACTAGAGATTGGATTTAATGAGAATTTGCCACTTTTGTCATTTTAATGCGGTAGAAAACCTTTGTTATCCAATTGTGTGGCTTTCACTGATGCCCTGTCCTTTCATATTGAGCACTTTTAATTAGGTTTGTTAATCGAATGCTATGTTTGTAACCAAACACCATTACAACTATTAATTACTTTCTGTCTGCTGTATTTTGTGTTCAGTGGTAACTAGCAAATGTAAGCATGCCGACAAGCTCAACTGAAATGGTATACATAACACCTGCTAAAAATCATCAAATATCAATATCCTTATCGTTGTAGGCCTGTTAGCATGTTAGCTCGAAGCA